AGAAAGACAAATACCATATGATCTCACTTGTATGCGAAATCTTGAAAACAAAAATGAGTCAGATTTGTGGTTGCAGAGGCAGGGAAGGGGTGAGTGGTGGGTGAAATGGAGGAAGGTGGTTGTCAAAGACAAAAATTACCAATTCATATAAATAAGTCATGGGGATGTAACACACATCATGGTGACTAGAATTAATACTATATTGCATATTTGACAGTTGTGAAGAAAATAGATTTAAATTTTTTAAATTTTATTTTAGACAGAGAGTGAGCAGGGGAGAGGGGGAAAGTGAGAGAGAGAGAGAGAGAGAGAGAGAATCTTAAGTAAGCTCCATGGTCAGTGCAGATCCCACAGGGCTCCATCCCAAGACTCTGGGATCATGACCTTAGCTGAAATCAAGAGTCGGATGCTTCACCAACTGAGCCACCCAGGCACCCCCTTTGTGTGTGTGTGTGTGTGTGTGTGTGTGTTTTGAAAGAGAGAGAGAGAGAAAGAGAATCCACATGTACAAGCAGGGTAGGGGAGAGGGAAAGGGAGAGAGAATTTTAAGTAAGCTCCATGCTCAGTGCAGAGTTTGACACAGGCCTGATCTCACAACCATGGACTCTCAACCAACTGAGCCACCCAGGCACCCCATAATTTTTATATTTTATTATAGTATTTATATTTATATATTTTATTTCATATCACAATATATGCAAATATCAAATCATTACATTGTACACCTGAGACTGATATAATGTTATATGTTCATTATGCGTCAATTTTAAAAAAAAAAGAAAAAGGGAAATTGGTTTAAGAAGACTTGGAAATTCTAGGTGGGAGGATAGGTAACACATTGGAATATTTAAGAGGATGCTCGGGATAAGTCTTGTTTAGAAGAGAAATGTAAGAGAGTATCTAGCTTGTTCAAAACCAGCAATGATGTCATATGGCTGAAGCAGACTGAGTGAAAGAGAGAGTAGCAGCAGTATTTATTATCTCTAATCTGGATTACTGCAATAGCATCGTAATTGTGCCCCTTCCCCCAAGCCCATGGGTTGAGAGCAGATTCTGTGTGTGTATGAGTAGAGGGGTATGGAGGTGACTGTGGTGGTGGTGGCAGGTAAAAGCAGAAGCAGGGAAATTAGTTAGGCTCTTTTTCTTTTTTTTCCTTAAGTTTATTTATTTATTTTGAGAGAGAGAGACAGAGACAGAGAGAGCGTGCAAGTGGAGGAGGGGCACAGATAGAGAGGGAGAGAGAGAGTCCCAAGCAGGCTCCATGCTATCAGTGCAGAGCTCAGTGCACGGCTTGAACCCACAAATCATGAGATTATGACCTGAGGTGAAATCAAGTCAGATCCTTAACTGACTGAGCTACCCAGGCACCCCAAATAGGGGTCTTTTCCCCTAGTCTAGGTAACAGAAGATGGAGGCTTGAATATTGAGCAGTGAAGATGAGGAAAAGTGTTCATATTCTGAGCATTTTGAATATAGAGTCAACAGTACATCCTGGGAGCTTGAATAAGAGGTGTGAGAGAAGAAGAAAAGTCTAAAATGACTCTAAAGTTTTAGTTCTGTGCAAGTGTTAGGATAGAGTTACATTAGCAGAGAAGGGAAAGGATGTGGGTGGAACAAGTTTGTGGAGGAAAGTCAACATTTCAGTTTTGGAACATGTTGCATCTGCGATTTCTATTAGATCTTTTATGCATGCTAACTCAGTATAGGAATAAAGACACACACATCTTTTACCTAATACCAGTAGAGACACCAACCTGCCACTAGTTTACATTGTGAATAACTAAAGAGATGAGGGAAAAAATCCAGAATTGGATAGATGCTATTTAAAACATCTATTCTTCAATTTGTCTCCCCCCTCCATTTCCCAGAAAATGGACTCCTTTTAAGAATTTGTCTTATCTGTGGACTAAGAAGCTCTTGCTTAATTTTTGATCCTGTTTTACCAAACCACCCACAAAACAACAAGAAACAACAAAACAAAACAAAACAAAAAAACAACAAAACTCCTCCATTTGTCTTCTACAGAGTGAATAATCATTCTCCAGGCTTCTGCTTTTAAAATGCACACCCGGGGCTGACATATAACTGTGAATTAATTAATGAGACAACTGGGGTGCGTGGGTGGCTCAGTCGGTTAAGCATCGGACTTTGGCTCAGGTTGTGCTCTCATGGTTTGTGGGTTCGAGCCCGATGTCGGGCTCTGTGCTGACAGCCAGCTCAGAGCCTGGAGCCTGCTTCAGATTCTGTATTTCCCTCTCTCTGTGACCCTCCCTTGCTCACACTCACTCGCTTGCTCTCTCTCTCTCTCTCTCTCTCAGAAATAAGTAAAACATTTAAATTTTTTTTTAAAAAATTGAGACAACTTTCCTCCAGCAATTGAAGAGGTGATGGAGACAATGTGAAAGTACTAGTGACTGAGGAGAGGAAACTATACAGCCTGCAGGCTGTAGATTATCAAGAAGGGTGTGGCACTGTTGCTTGTCATTCCTGGCATATCTTGGGCTATATTTCCCAGCTTCCTTTCCACATGACTGAGATCCAGCCGGTAGAATAAGAGTGGAAGTGGTGTATGTCTCTTTCCCAGGCCTGGCCCCGGAAACCTTTCCTCAAGCTATTTATTCCTTCCCCTTTTCATTTGTTGTAGACCTTCATGGCCATATTGGAAACATGTTGAAAGCAATGGAGCCAAAACTAGAAGGAGCCTGGGTCTCTGAATTTCTGCTCAAAAGAGACCATCTGTCAAAAAAGAACTCTCATTTTGAACTTAACATGAGTAGGAAATAAATGTCTATTGTATGTGAGCTATCATACATCTGTAAACTTATTATAGTAGCTGATGGTCTCAAAGGTAATACAAAGAGAAAAATTGGGGTTCCAAAGCACACTTGCTTACTGCCCACATTTTCCTATTTAGCTCTCCAGTTTGAAGCCAGTTATTCCCTTCAAATCTCCTAAAAGCAAACAGTTGAGGAATCAACTGGGTGAGTGAAATTACAGGTGCATATCTTTGAAGGTAAGCCTTAAAAGAAACTCATGGAATATTTCATATACTATACTACTAACTTCAGCATAAATTCAAAGATATAAATCTTTGAGGCATGAGAAATTGGCAACATTCTTGAGATAGTCAGTTTTTCCAATTTGATTTGCACTGCCAGCTAAATCTGTTTACTTAGTGCATGGTGGCATTTAGAGATTTAATTCAATGCTCTACTTGAAAATTTCTGATCATACTTTTGGATCAGAGCCTTTCACAAATATTACATCTTTTCTAGGGCAGTATTCATGACAGAAATGTTTTCTTAGAAGTTTTTTCCATTTTTAATGTATCCATTCTTAGGATTTATAGGCATAGGGAGTAAAAGCCATATTTTTAAATTCAGTACACATGTCCTTCAAAGAAAAATAAATTTGTTTTCAACATGAAGAACATCTTTTGCAATAACTCTATGTCCAAAATATATTCTTCAATACAAAGCACACAAATTACAAAAAGGTATGGATTTTCTAATCTTATACTGGGAGGAAAAAGACAAATTAACATTCTTTAAGGAAATAAAGATATTTAAGGTTTGATCTACAAATTTAGATACCTGGAGTAAACATCTTCAGTATGTAAACTCTGATTTAGTTTTCTGTGAACATGGATACTATAATAATAGGTGAACATTGGCAAGTTCCTCACTCAAATATCTCCTTTAAGTAGATGACAGAAGATCCTAAATATATTTAGTTTACCTTGCAATATTCCTGATGATTATGATAATGATGATAATAATAATAATATTTTATTGAGCACTTCCTATGTGTCAGAAACTACAGAAAGTAATTTTCTTGAATCTATTTATGTAACTCTCACAATGACCCTATGAAGAGACAAATATTATTTTCTACTTTCCCAGTGAGGAAACTGAAGCACAGATGAGTTTAATGACTTACTCAAAGTTATTTCTAGTGTATGGAGAGCTGGGAATTGAACAGTCTATGCAGCTTGGCTCCATAGCCCATGATCAATATTCTTGGAAAGGCTAACATATCAAGTCCCTTTCATTATGTGCAAATCAGTTCATCATTTTTATTAATGATATTACATATCAGGCATTAAAATAATACCTAATGCAAGAAATTTAAAAAAGAAACTATTAGTACTTATCTTTATATTAGTGCATATGCTTATGGTTATGTAAGTATAGTTAAACTTACAGTACTTATTATTGGAAATATACTATTAATTATTATTTATACATATATTAATACATTAGTGCTATCAACTATACACCAAACTAAATCATAGTTTAAATACTGGGAAAGTTTTTAACTTATTATTACCTAAAATGTAGCAAAAACGTTAAATATTAATATAAAACACATACCTATGCTATATCATATGCTGATACACTATACTAAAGAAACATATAAATAATAATCTCTATGAAGTACAATTAAATACAATATTAAAAACATCATTATTTGTGCTGATCTAAGGAAAGTTCAGTATTATTTATGTGAAAAGTATGAAATGCATTAAATAAACTGCTAGTGACATCTTTAAAAATAAAAGTAAGATTTTGGGGATGTTAAATTGTTTAATGTCCTTGCATATCTTTAAGGTGGCAAATATATTAATGTTTATATTAATATTAAATTCTACTGAGTGGAAGATACACATTTCACCTTCAGGGCAAAAATGGGCTTCTTCAGATCAAGTTAAAAACAAAACAAAACTCTAGCATTAGCCCAGTGTCTGGCATACAGTTTGAATAAATGCTTAAATATATAAATATTATAGCATTATATTAGGCAGGTTTTTCCAGAAAAACAAAACCAATAGGATATATATATATATATATACACACACACACACATATATATACCCACACACATATATATACGTATATCTATAATAAATCGTATATATAAATATATAAATATAAAATATTATATATATTATAAATATATATATATATATAAGAGAAGACATATTATAGGAATTGATTCACATGTTTATAGAGGCCAAGAAGTCCCATGATCTGCAGTCTGCAACTTGAAGAGGCAGGAAATCTGGTGGTATAATTCAGTTCGGGTCTGAAGGCCTGAGAAGGAGAGGAGCTGATGGTGTAAGTTCCAAAGTTGCAAGGTCCAAAAACCAGGAGCTCTGATATCTGAGGGCAGGAGAAGATGGATATCCCAGCTTAAAAACAGAGAGGGGTGCCTGGGTGGCTTAGTCGGTTGAGCGTCCGACTTTCGCTTAGGTCATGATCTCGCGGTTCGTGGGTTCGGGCCCCGCGTCAGGCTCTGTGCTGACTGCCAGCTCAGAGCCTGGAGCCTGTTTCAGAGTCTGTGACTCCCTCTCTCTCTGACACTCTCCTGTTCACGCTGTCTCTCTCTCTCTCCTAGAAATAAATAAAAATACTTTAAAAAAAAAAAAAAAAAAGAGTAAGAATTTGCCTGTCCTTCATCTTTTTGTTCCATTCAGGCCCTCTACTGATTGGAAAATGTCTACCTGCATTGGTGAGGGCAGATCACTTTACTTAATCTAATTCAAATGGTAACCTTTTTCAGAAACACCCTGAGGGACTCACCCAGAAACAGTTCTACCAGCCATGTGGGTATCCCTTAGTCCAGTCCAGTTGACGCATAAAACAAATAAACAAACCCCCAAATACTGACACATAGAATTAACCATCTCCAGAGTGTTTCCAAGTAAAAGGGTCCATTTAGACCTACTTCACATCAATGAATAATAAAAGTGATTCATCATCCACCAAATTCACTATCTGTATTAATTTATAAATAGTTTTAATGGCTCTGAATTAGTTCCTGTAATAAGTTTTTGCTCCTATGCTACTTTTGGTCTATAAATTTTTTTACATTTTTAATCTGTTTATCAGCCATTTCTTTATAGTTCAAGAAGTCAGTGATAGACTAGTTTGATCCAAGTCAACTAATCATGGTTTATCAATTAGTAGTTTTGGAGTTTTGAAACGATATTGAAGCGCTCAACCTAGATAACTAGAAAGACATATGCAAGAGCTGCATTGACCATTACAATAGCTATTGACTACATGTGTCCATTTAAATTTAAAATGACTACAATTGAAATACAATTAAAAATTCAGTTACTCATTTGCACTATTGGCAACTGCATTGAACAGCACAGGTCCAGAACATTTCAATCATCACAAGACATTCTAACAGACAGTGTTGTTCTAAAGAAAGTGACAATTTTTTAACGAATCAGTTATATTCACAGATAATTTACAAATGTCACTTTTGCTGGCAATTTCTTATTTTCCACACCCTTCTCCAAGCACACCTCTAATAACATGACTGACCTAAGTTTGGAGTCCTACCTTCCTCTTGCTCAAGCCCTGGAGAAGGTACTCGACATGGGAAAGGCATGCCTAAAGGAAGCAAGTAGGAAAGCAAAAAGCAAGAGGCAGGATATTGCACAAACTGCACAATCAGCTTTTATGAGATCAAGAAGGTTGTCCAAAACACACCATAGATGAGTCATTTAGTCATAACTTTTGGTGAGTAAAAATGTCCTTGAATAAGATATAATAGAACTATAGAGTACTATGTGACTCATCAGTTGAATGATTAGCCTAAAATCAAGTAGTACAAATTTAAAATAAAAGAAATTAGAAACAGCTAATCTAAAAGGATATAGGTAAATTCCAAGCCATTCAATAACAATGTCATCCAAACTGCTGCAGAGAGTAGAATTTTTCTCTGATGCTTCCATACTTACGAAGTTGGGATTTCCAGTGCTTCCTTCCTTTCAGCAATCAGCCCCCTTCAGTAGGCTTTTGATGTCTAGGTTTCCAAACAACCACTAGGGCTTCTCTAGATACTAATCTCCTACTTTGAACTTTTCAACTTTTCCATCTGGGATTTCTTTCTCAGACCTAACCAAAGGGAAAAAAAAAATCAAGTGGGTTCCAAGGCAATGGCACAATATCAGCTACTTAAATGTTGCAAAAAAAGAAAAAAGTTCCTAGGGGTGCCTGGGTGGCTCAGTATGTTAATTGTCCAACTCTTGATTTTGGCTCAGGTCATGATCAGGTGGGATTGAGCCCTACTGAGCTCATGCTGACATCACAGAGCCTGCTTAGGATTCTCTCTCTCATTCTCTCTGTCTGCCCTTCCCCTGCTCATGCTCACTCTCCCTCTCTCTCTTAAAATAAATAAATGGACATCAAAAAGAAGAAGAAGAAGAAGAAGTAGAAGAAGAAGAAGAAGAAGAAGAAGAAGAAAATGTTCCAGAAAAGTTCTTATTTCCATTACAAATACATTCATCCCTAGCCTCTTGCTGACCCAATTACGGTAGGTCATTGTAATTAGATCTGTTACAGTTACCATCTTTTCTTTTTCAAACTTCACGTTAACCTGTCTCTTTTTTAAACACAATGTAATAAATATTAGATTTCAAAAATTCACAAAGACAAGCAAAAAGAAAAAGGTGTTTGCACATAAATGGAGAAATGATTCACTGCAGTGTTTAATCTTTGTCTTTTTAAAACAAACTCTAGCTTTGGGAGGAATACTGCAGGAAATAGAAAAGGAAACAATGTCTCACATGATTCCAAATGTAGTTGAGGCATTATAAATAAAATATTTAGCTGTTTAACCAAAATTTATTTTATCACCAAGCAATCCTGAGTTTTATGACTTACTATGAATTGTTCATAGCAAGTCATCAATTTATGTAAAATACATCAATTTCATCTTGAGTAAAATTAGCAGAGAATATAGGAGTATTTCAGGAAGTCAAATCATTTTGGTGGCTTTTTTTGAACTGAGAAGAAAATATTAAAAATTGTAACATCTAATGGTATCTTCTTAGGCTACTGTGTGTAGTCCCCTGCTGGTTGTCCACTTGACATAAGACATGCATATGTCATCCTGGGCATATTCTAAAGAGCTTTGAGCCTCCTGGAGTTACTTAATTTCTAACACATTTTTCTTTACTAAGAGGAGAACCACAGTATTTTCTAGAGGTAAGATTTACTGCGGTGTTAAACTTGGGGGAATAATAAGTTTTCCAGAAAGTCAAGAAGTTACAGACTTGACTCAGAGCTAGTACATATTCAATATTTTTACTGCAATGGAGGAATGGATGAGATAATAAAATGACTGCTAATTGTCTAAAGTATATTTATATGAAGGATTTAGGAACTTCCTTGGAGAGACATCAAATTAAAGGAAAGAGGAATTCAGATGTGGAAAATTTATCTCTGTAACAAAATCTTCATTATTGGAGTTGAGTTTCAGTTTTGAGTACAGCCATACTGGTCTGGCTGGCTCCAATTTGATTCCTGTAGGAAATAAGAGATCTCTTCACCTCCAGTTGGCTCTTTTNTTGGAGTTGAGTTTCAGTTTTGAGTACAGCCATACTGGTCTGGCTGGCTCCAATTTGATTCCTGTAGGAAATAAGAGATCTCTTCACCTCCAGTTTTTTTTTGCTCTTTTTTTTTTTTTTTTTTTTAGTAATAAAAGTTTTATAAGGTACTTTGCTAGATTAAGATACTTTGCCGCTCCTTGAATTGAGGCCTGTACGGTCAGTGTTGTACATGGTCATAGAGCAGATAGACTGATATTTACATGTAGCTAACCATCCAATTTTTTATTTTTTTATGCTAAGTGATTACCCTTCATTAAAATAGGACAGCATTCAAAGCCCTTTCGCTGAGTATTACGGATACAGTGGGAAGTGTGACAGACACAGTCTCTTCCATGAGAACAGTAACAGTCTCATGGAGGAGGCAAATCTCAAAAATAAGCACAGCACTAATTATATAATTACAAGAGTGTGAGAACTTACAACAGGAAGATCTAATCTATTGGGAGACAGGCAGGAAAAGCATCTTCAAGGAAGATTTAAGTGGACATCTGCAGGATGGGTCAAGGTAATCAGGTAAATGGAGGATAGAGAAAGCATTGCAAGCACAAAGAAGAGCATGTGCAAAGGCTCTGGGGGCCAAGGATCTACTGTGTTTGAGGAACTGAAAGGAGCTAGTGTGGCTGTTGAAAATAGGTTGAAGAAAACAGAGAGGGACGAAGCTGTAGAAGTAGGCAAGGACCAAATCATAGAGGGCTTTGTCAGCCGTGATAAGGGCTTTAATTTCATCATAAGAGTAATGGGAAGTCATAAAAGGGTTTCATGAGGAGGGAGTGACATGATTAGAATTGCCTTATTTTGGGTGAATGGATTACAAAGTAGCCAGAATGGATGTGGGGAGCCTATCGCAATAACCAAAACCAAGAGACATTTGCGACTTTAGACTAGCAGGGCAGTTCTCAAAGTGTTGTCCTTGGAACCCTAGGGCACCCAGAGATCCTTTCATGGGGCCTGCAATGTTAAAAATTATGTTAATAATAACACTAAGGTATTATTTATTTGCCCTTTAAATTGTTTTGACATTTGCATTGACAGTGGATAATGTCAGTGAAGGCTTAGAGTCACTGAATTTTTCATCTCAGCATAGTCTCAATGAAAAACTGCAAGTTTCATTTAAAAATTTCCTTGAAGAATTAGAAATGTTTACTAATTTTATTAATTTCAATCTTTGATGACGTAGAAATATTTACCAATTTTTTATTGTTTATTTATTTTTGACAGAGACAGAGCATGAGCAGGAGAAGGGCAGAGAGAGAGGGAGACACAAAATCCAAAACCCCATCCAGGCTCCAAATTGTCAGCACAGAGTGCTACGTGGGGCTCGAATTCACGAACTGTGAGATCATGACCTGAACCGGAGTCAAACACTCAACTGATTGAGCCACCCTGGCACCCCTCAACTCAACTTTTTAACACTATGTGACAAAATGGTAAATGATGTTGCTGAAGTAGCTCAAAGTTATTGCCAGCTTTCCATAGTAGAAGTTGTTTTTCTCTTTGTAATAGCAGAGATTAGGTGCTCAATGTAGCAGAGGGTTAAAGAGAGACAACATATGAGAGTAGACACTCTAAAATCAAAAGAGATAAAGACAATAGGAGCATAGGTTAATATATCCATGTGCATTTTTGAGTCATTCTGCAAAGCTATTCTACCCCAGTTCTGCTCGTTTTATAATCACAAATAGGTTCTCAGAATGACCCTGGGAAGCCATCGTCTGGTGGGTACTAAATTATGGCTACACTGGGTTCAAAATAAATCAGGAGAATGGATCGTATGCATCTCTTCCCAACTCCGCATTCAATGATGTCAGAATGTAGCTTGAAATCAAACATGGCAGTCGTATGTATATCATATTAATTAGTAACACTACAAACTGGACCTCCTTTACTACTTCTTGTTTTTGTTCGTGTTCTTATTCTTGTTCTTGTTCTCCTCCTCCTCCTCCTTTTAGCCTGGAGAGCCCATTGTTAAACACTTAGCAACACACCTCTGGTCTTAGCCAGGTCTCTGAATTCTTCTTCCCTCTCATGTTCCCCCCAAGGCAAATCTTTACTTATCTCCATAAATCTCCATTTATTTAATAGTCTTTGTTTTAAATTGAGATAATTAGCATTGTTAAAATGTAAACATCTGGCATATAATACATGCTCAATAAATATTTGTTGAATGTTGAATATTAATTAATTCAACATTAAAACAATGTGGGCCCCCAAAAAGCTAAGAATACATATCTTAATTGCTATTGATATAATTTATGGTCTGTTCTCCCATAGCACATATTTTGAATATAGCACTTACATCATATTAGAGTTATTTGTTTACATATAAATGCCAAAAATCTAGCCATTGAGACAAGCAATACAGTTCCCAAGTTTCCTAACTTCCAATTTACTTTCAAGAAAATGTATTTAGAGAAGGAACTAGAATCTTAATTTCTTTTCTCAATGATAATATATTACTTTAAATAACTCCAGGGTTGACATTCATTAAGGGAAAAAATAAGGACTTGAGCATTTTGAAAGAGCCTCTGTTCAATTATACTTTATGATACTCTGTAAAGCCACCCTTCTCTAGTCAATAACTGAAACAAGCAAAAAATGAGCTCCCTAATAATCAATTCTCAGTCATTCAAGGATTAATGATATAGTTTGTAGAGCCATTTGTTATCTCCATCTTTGCTTTTCTTTATTCTCGGTTTGGCTTCCTGCCGCTGTATCTTTGCATTATTCATGAGAACCCACACTAGGGGAAAAAAGGGCTCTGAAATGCAAATCTTTCTTTTACTGTTTGTTAGCAGTTCTCCAAAAAGTGTTGTTGCAGAGTAAGCAGGTCAGAACAATTAACTTAAATGAGATTTGTTTATATTTATAGGTTTCAAATATCCATTTAACGTACAGGTAAATCTGCTTAACTTTATACTACAGAGGGGCTAGAAACACTGCCTAAAGTTGCTTAAAATCCCTAAGAATCTTATATTTTGTCCATTCCTACAAAGAATTTAAAAAAATTAAAAATTAAATAATAACCCCTGCTCCTCCAAAAAAAGTCTTCAAGTTTCACAATTTAAAAATGCATCTCCACTGCAGGTACTTTGTCATGATGAGTGCATCTGAGTATGTTCCTTGGAAGATAAACACTGGAAGATAAACAAAATGTCGGGCTTCAGTTACAGCAGAGCCTTCCAAAAGAAATAAAGTGACTAGTTAATCCTTAGAGTACTGGAATTTGTTGGACTGTTAGCCAAACGAATATTTAGGAGATTGCCTATGTGTTTCTGTGTACATGGGCTCAAATCTTCACTCTCTGGTCTGAGGAAAGAGCAGAAGGAAGAAAAATGTAGAACTACAGACCTCAACACAGAAGGGGTTAAGGGGTGTAGAAATATATGCGTGTATGTGTGTGTGTGTGTGTGTGTGTGTGTGTGTGTGTGTGTGTGTGCGCGTGCAGGAGTTATGTGGGTGTGTATGTGTGGTGGCAGGTGAGGGTGTTCAACATCACTGTCCCCATTGACACCTGGGGGTAAGCAGACAGAATAAGAGATTTTTTTCCTGATTATCTCCATGATGAAAACCTCTGGCCTAGATGATGTTTCAGGCAGTCTG